GACCTAGGCTTAGTTTGGGCTTGGTTTAGTATTTTGGCCATATATCACTCGTTTTAAATCGGATTTGGGCTTATAATATATCGTTGGAAAGCTCTTTTCAAGCCCCATCCATCCAAATAATTATTAGATTGAAAAAATGGACCAATATAATCAGGTTGGACGTTTTTATGGTTATAGGCACGAAAAGGATGCTTTCAAGGACACAAAATAAATGTTTTTGGATTTAAGGACACGAAATGAATGTTTTTGGAAAAAACATTTTGGGTAAGGTTAGATAGATGGTTTGTCTTTTGAAGAACCGAATGTTAAAAAAATTTGTTTCGCATCGGATTTGTTCTGATATTGATTTTAAATCAATTTGGGTAACAAATATTAGATCCAGATCTCTAGAATTTTGCGTATAATTAATTTACTTTTAAAAAAACAAAATTAAAGGATTACAATCTAATTTTTTTTTTATTTTTTTTTTTGTAAAAAAGGGTAATGAACTAATGATATTTGTATCCCTAATGACTACAGATTAACATTAATACATTTCTATATTTGGTATTAAATTAATAATGCATGACATAATCACATGAACGAAAAATTTCATTTATTTTACCACTTCTAGCATAACTACTTATATATTGCCTTAAGGGTTATGTATATCATTTTCCTTACCAAACCTATATTAATTAAGATGATATGATTTTTTATATTTTTTACACGGATTGGATTTAGTCCATTTTCACAAAATACTTGAAAAACAGTTAAATGACATTTATTTAGTCGGTAAATTTCAGAGTTACAACCTGAAATTTCATAGTTACATTCATACATGATAAAAATATTTGATGAAATATTGACATTGGAGACCTCATCACAAACATAAGTGAATATAAACAAAAAAAACAAAGGTAAGATAAAACAAATACTAAAATTTTAAGTACGGATCACAGTTGGGCGGTGTAGGTGCGGATGCCCCCTCCCCCTTATCCGCATTTGCCAAAAAAAATTATACTTGTGACCTATCCGCCACCCGCGATGGGTAAAATTTTAACACCCACATCCGCCTAAGCGGGAGACTTACATACACCCGATCCACCAACCGTCCGTCTTTTATCTGCTAACCTAACAATATTTGTTTGATAAATTTCCTATAAAACATGTCATTATGCTATCTCTGAAATTTTGTAAATACATAATTTAATCATATATTATACAAGTAAGTAGTCAACTGTATATAAATACACAAAAAAATTACTACATAAAAATTAGTGGTAGTAATAAGTTGGCAGGTAACTGGGTGGGTAGGCGGGTAACTAGCGGGTAGGCGGGTATGACATCAAATCCACTGCTTATTAGCTACCCACGGTGGGTATGACTTTTGTACCCATACCCACTTACTTATTTACCAAAGTTGGACCCATAATCGCTTCAACTGGGGCGGGTACGGTGTGGGACTCGCATTTTTATACCCACTTGTCATCCCTAATTTTAAGTATATAAATAATTTAATAGGTAAAATAATAGTAGAATAATTATGTAAATACCAGCGTTAAATCACGTTATGATATTTCTAGGAGCTATATATGTTAGAGCATAACTTTTGATTTCCACTTTATCATTATTATAAAAAATTGTGCTTTGATAAGTAAAAAATACATATAAACTTATTATACCGTACAATTGCACGGGTACTATACTAATTATTTTTATTGAAGTAAACTTATTTTTACTTAATATTGTTTTTTTAAAGTGTAGTGAACAGGGCCCTTAATATTGCAAATTCCAAATATGTAATATCCGATTCAAAATGATTTTAGATCAAATATCTGATTTGTGCTCAATTATAACTTTAGCCCACCTAACTTAAAGATTATAATAAATATCAATAAGAATTTGTCATTTAGCAAAAATTAGTTGGTCATACATTGAGCCGACATTGAATTAAGGATTGAGTATACATCTTCTTTCTTCTTTCCTTTTTAAATTTTTGGTTGTAGAAATACATTAACCAAAAATATATTGAAAATTGTATTATAAATTAAACATAACATGACAATAGAGTAAAGATCACTTAGAAGCGGTGGAATGCTTTAACAATCATTATACATCATTGTGTATCACTTACAATTAAATAATGTCTTGGAGTTTTTATAAAGCAATGGAAGATATATTAATACCCAGTAAATCATCAAGAAATGTATCACATGTTTTTTTGTAATAACGTAATATTGATGAGAAGTTGATCAAAAAATAGTTTAATTGTGTAACATTAATAATGGGATTTAAAATTAAGGGCCTATTCGATTGGCAAATTAAAATGTTGTTGTAGATTTGTAGGAGCGGTTATTAATTATGAAGATATTGATAATTGAAGCATGAGTGTTCGGTAAAAATTGTTGATTAAATTGTTAGCTATAGATTTGATTTTTCCTAAAAATGTAACAATATATATCAGCAATTATTTATCACAAATCATAGAAGTATTAACTTTTGGCAAAAATTACTTGCAACACTAATTACTAACCAAACCACTACATAAGATAGTTTTTGGACTTGTTTAATCCACTAAAAGCTACTTCCTTCATTTTTTTTTGTTTGTTACATTGCCCCTTCTGATCGGACGGAGAATTATTTTAACTTCTACGATCTCCAATACACATTTGACTACGAATATATACAATTATATGTGAGTTATATAATGTAAAATGTTGATATTTTGAAAATATTTTTTAAATCAAAGCTAACAAAATCCTACTTTTGCCAAAAGAAAAAGATAAAGAAAAAAAAAACCTACTTGATATAATATGATGTTTATAATAGTTAGTTTTTGTAATAGCTGACCATAAAATCAAAATATAACAAACAAAAAGAAACAAAGAGAGTTCTTAACAGTAATTTTACCTAATTTTACCTGGGTGTTCAATCCAAATAAATAAACATTGTTGATTTTTGATAAGTAACATATAGTGATGTAGTTGGTGGATTTTCCTCTTTTTGAGGTCTTTTATTCCACTTTGTTGTTTATTTTTATTTTTTGTCTACCTTTTAGAGTCCAAAGTCCAATTTCTAAGTCAAAAATTTTGAGGTCTCAATTTGAGTGTTGGGTTGGGTTTGGTGAAGTTGGATCGGATTTATTTTAAATTTAAGTTGTGTTAAATTTTAATGTCCATAAAACATATACAAGTGTAAATCTAAAGTTTTTTTTTTTCTTAAAAAAATACTTTGTATTTAGTGTAAGATAATACTTTCTACATTTCAAAGTAGATGACATGTTTCTTTTATCACGTTTTTCAATACATAAATTCAACCGTAAATATCTCTAATTATCAATTAAAAAAAATAAAGAGGAATTGAGAGGAAAATAATATGTGAGAGGATGGTGGTGGTGCCATGATTTTCATTGATTAGGTTAAAGGTAATGAGGCACCGTGGCAGCTACAGTTGCCAATGCTAGTAGAGGTGAATTTAGGATTGTTCACCGTTCCAAGACCGAATCAGATAGAAGACTGGAACAATGTACCTATATAAAAACTATATGTAATGTAGGTAATTAAAATTATAATAATATGAAGTCAATGCCAGTAGAGGTAAATTTAGGGTTGTGTTAGTATGTATATTTATAACATAGATGTCGAGCGTTTCAATTCGAGATATTGTAATTATAGATTACCAAATCATTTCATTAAGCTCGTTTGGATACAGATTTAGGAAGAAAGTGGAGGGAAAGGGGTAGGGAGGGGAGGGAAGAGAAGGGGAAGGGAGGGAGGAAGAAATTCAACTCCCTTGTTTGGAAAAAGGAGAAAAGAAAGGGGTGGGAAGGAAAACAACCGCCATCAACATCGTGCTCCTTCATTACATTCAACAACCAAATTTCAATTCACAATCAAACCAAAAACCTTAACCCTTGATTTTCTTCTTCTTCCTAATTATCTTCCTTGATCGGCACATGATTCCTACATCTCCAGTTCAATCATGACGAATTACGCAGTTCGTAAATTCTAGCAAAATTCCGGTGTGTTTGGATAAAGAAATGGGAAAGAAAAGAAGGGGAGGGAGGTGAGGATGAGGGAAGAGAAAGGAAGGGGAGGGAAGAAAGATGAGTTCCAAATCTCTCCATTGTTGGAGAGATTAATTTCTTACAATTTAATTCTTCCATTTCTCTCCCCTCCAATTCCCTTCCTTCCTTTTTTGTTATCTAAATGAAAGATAATCCATCCCTCCGTTTCCCTTCCCTTCTTTACCCTCCAATTCCTTCAATCCAAACAAAGTGTTCGACTTTGGAACAAAAATTGAATGGGAATCAAAGAGCCCGGCGAAAGAGGCGGAGAAAGAGTTTGCTCGAAAACTGGAAGCCATTGATTACGACGACAATAACAATGGTGAATTGGTAGTGGTAGAAAGGGTTAGGAAATTGGGGGAAAGATGCGTAGAATTCTAGATTTCCAATTTCCCCCAATTTGAGGAGAGAGAAAAATTGGGATTTTTTTTAATAAAAAAGGGTAAAGTTGTCTTTTTAAAAAAATTCAGTTTGTATAACTTATTTTCCTTTTAATTCTGTTTTGTATAATGTATTTTCCTTCCAAATCTTTTCAAATTTGGAAAGATTTTATTCTTAAGCAATTGTTGAAATATTTTCCCCCCAAATCCTTTCCTTCCATTTCCTTCCCCTCCATAAATTACTACCCAAACAAAGAAAATTGCATCCCTCCCTTTCCCTTACCCTTTCCCTTTCCCCCCAAATCCCACTATCCAAACATCTATGAAATTGCCAGGAAATGGGTCATAAGCTCATAATTGAAAACTAAATAATTTATGAAGTATATAACCACTTGATATGCGATATGCACATCATCAGCACATGGTTATATGAGCTAGAGTGAAAGGAAAAACACTTGCTCCGTAATACTATTCACATGACCATATCACATCTTTGATATTCCTGCCTGCCACATGCCATCATTTTGTATTCGGAATTGCAACTACTAGTCAAGCAGCAAGGCACCACACAAATGGAAAACACAAGATGAATACTTACATTCGACGTTACAACAAATGCTTCGAAAGCAGTCTCGAAAATGTAATCCAGTGAGAGTTAGCATCAAACTTGGACTATCCAAGACAGCCTGAACAAATTTTAACACGATGAAGATGTTCCTATGTTTTAGACCTAAGAATTCCTACGTAACGACTATACCTACTCTATCCCCCAAAGTTGTCCTACGACTCAATAGCTATACATGCAACTCCGATAGTACAACACTAAAGATTACAAGACACGTTATCCACGTATCCAGGATTGTTTGAATGTACGTACTATATGAGACATGCTGAATTCAGCACCTACTAGCAATCAGAAAATATATACAGAAGCATCTCACAAGTTCCCTATTATGATCAGCATGCCGCTATGTGTTTACAAGGTTGAACCCCTTGAACCAGTAGATTTACTTCCCCATAAATGCCGTGAGCCTGTATCCTTGTCAGCAAAAGCAACTGAACAGAAGTAAAAGCACAAATGAGAGCAAGGAAATAATGAAGACGCTTGAAGTTTGTACGGAAGTCTTTTCTCCTCTTTGATTATATTTATAAACAATGACGAATTCGTATGAAGTATAGGATTTGTTGTTTGATAAACAGAATAAAAACCAACTGAGAATTTGAGGAAACGTTTTTACACTAATCAATACAAATAATTATAAGAAAAAAAGTAGTCACATACATTACCCCTTCTTCCCAACTCCTCCCAAGATTTATACTACGTGCTACATTTGATTGGATGTCACTTTTGATGAAAAAGTTACCAATAACATATCTTTCACTTAGATTTAGACTTCTCCATCACACCAAATCATCAATATGATCTTTGTTAGGAATTCGTTCTTAAGGTATACTACGTAAAAGGTAATATTAGAAAGTTCAATTTTTCACTTACTAAATTTAGAAAGTATCATGCTCCATCAATTGTTCATGTCCCTTCCTATTTTGATTTTGGGTATCCCTTTTCTCCTTCCTACTTTCACTTTGTTCCTTTTTAATTTTTTTTTTCTCTATAATGCCCTTCTGCTAATACTTACACTTTTATTAACCCTTACCAACCCATGAGTTCGTTCTTAAGGTATACTACGTAAAAGGTAATATTAGAAAGTTCAATTTTTAACTTAATAAATTTAGAAAGTGTCATGCTCCATCATTTGTTCATGTCCTTTCCTATTTTCGATTTTGGGTGTCCCTATTTCTCCTTCCAACTTTCACTTTGTTCCTTTTTATTTTTAATTTTCCTCCATAATGCCCTTCTGCTAATACTTACACTTCTATTAACCCTTACCAACCCATAATTTCTCTCCACCCTACAACTAGGGAACTCAGCCCACTAATTTACTCCATTCCTAATGTGGCTACAAAGAGTAAGAAGCAGAACAAGAAAATGGTGGTACGAGAGAAGATGTGCAATAAACTTAGAGACCACAGGTTAGCTATAAAACAGCTAGAGCCACCTTATGGAATCTTGGTAGAAATAGCATCAGGAAGATAATTAGTACCTTCTGCCTTGGGAAATGCAGGAGTACACTCAGCTTCACAGCTAGTTTGCAGGGAAAATGAACAAGGACACTCTTGATTAGACTCCAAAATGCATCTTAACCACTTCAAGGACATAAGAAATAGTCATCTGGACTCAAAGAAGCAAGCTACGGCTGAATACAGCTGCTCTTCTTCAAATGGCTTTGACACGTAACCATCCATGCCGCACTTAATGCATTCTTCATTGGTAGCTTGAATTACATCTGCTGTCATCGCCAATATTGGAGTGTGCCAAGGAGTCATATTAGGAAATGAATCCACTGAAACCTCCCCGGATTTAAGTTTCTCATTGAACTCAGTTTCCTTCAGACGAATTAGTCGAGTAGCTTCAAACCTGGAGAGACAGGACAGGAAAGAAGACAAATACTTTTCAGATGAGACCAGTTACCTCATATCTTTAACCAGTCAAACAGGAAGTGCAGCAACTGTGGAATAATAGCACAGATATATATGCCCACCACCCAGGCTCTTTTGCTTCATATTTAACATATTAAGAATAAGTAAATCTATTTGCATAGACCAAGAATTGCAGGGAAAAAGTAGCATTACCCATCCATCTCAGGCATTTGGAGATCCATAAAGCAAGCATCAAAGTTATGGGGTGGCTCAAGCTTCATCACAGCAGCCTTCCCACTGTCAACACAGGTCACAACCGCTCCATATTTTTTTAGTGCCCCTTCTGCCACTTTACGGTTAACAGCATTATCATCAACCACCAGGATTAGTTTTCCTTTGAGTAAACTTCCAAGACTGGCAGGTTTGACTCTATTTGACTGCCTTTTTCTCCCATTGCCAAAGGCTTCATGAAAGCAGCCAGTTAAAACACTCAACCTCAGAGGCTTCGTGATTATACTGTCAACTAAATGAGAGGATTTAAATTCACTGCGCTCAGACGGAGTCATGGAAGTGGCCAACAAAAATATCTTGGGCATTCTATCAATAGAGCCTTTTGACACTGCATTTTCAAGTAGATGACGGATCTCGATAACAGGCTCCTTTTCCCATACCTCTCTGTCAATGAGGATCATGGCTAGTGGCGCTAAAGCACTGCATGAAAAATATCATGCATCAGCAAAGGCCAATTTTCCAAGTAGAGATTCAGAGTTCTGAAACCAAATACTTTGTACATGTCTACATGCAAAGTCAAGCTTCATCTCAAATGCAAACTTTAGCATTGAAACACAAGGAGATTGTCAATAAACCAAAAATGTATGTAATTTGCTTAATTCTGTGTTGAATCTAGAAACAATAATAGAAATATCACATACAGGATCCTAGAAGAAAGTTTAGGCATTTTTTTTTCTTTTTTATCTAAAGGGGGAAGGGCGGAAGGTTAAAATCAAAGCTGTATCCTAACTACTACGAGAGTTAATCAGTAACCTCACTCACACACATGCAAATACAAATCTTATCAACACAATTACCACAAACAACCATTTCTAAAGGGGGTAAAGAATGAAGTTCTACCTTGTATTTGGAAAGTCAGAAACAAATGAGAAAGCGGACTGAAGACTGGAAACTGTGTCAACAGATATCCCCAGTCTCTGAAGATGATACCGTGTGACCTCAGCTCGAATGCTTCTTTTATCAATTACCAAAGCTCTCAACCCCTTCAATTCCGAAATAGATGTTTCATGGGTGTGCCATTTTGGGTCTAGGGAGTCAAGCTCTCCTCTCTTAAGAACTGCTGTAAAAGAAAAGGTACTTCCAACATCACGCTCACTCACAAACCCAATTTCCCCTCCCATAAGGTCTACCAAGCATTTGCTTATACTCAATCCTATTCCAGTTCCTCCGTAGTGCCTCGAAGTGGAGCTGTCAGCCTGCATAAATGGAGTAAATATGCGGCTCTGTGCCTCTTGAGGAATCCCTTCTCCTGTGTCCTCCACTGTCACTATTAGTTTGATAAGCTCAGATGTCTCAGTGCTTTCTTTACCACCCAACTGTTTAAAGTTTGTCCAACTTTTCCATCTATCAACAATAGGATAACCGCTTAGAGTATTTCTTTCAGATCCATCTTTCAATGAATTTAGTCCTTGTCGAAGCACATCATCCATCATATCAGATGGTGCCCTCACTTCATCAGCCAAATGTACGGAAACAAAAATATGTCCCTTAGCATTTGTAAACTGCAGGCAGAAGAAAATGTTTGTCAGATCCATCTTTGAATGAATCACATTGATTTATGCATTTCACATCGAAAGTTTTAAGCATCTTCTTTCTGCCTATTGTTCAAATGGTCACATTGAAGGAGTAGACAAGAATCGAGCATGCTCAGATGCTCTACATACTTCACATGTTCACAAAGATACAAGGATGATCAAAGTGCATATTAATCTCACTCGGCTATACTATGCAAAAGGTTTGTAGAGTAAGTGTATTAAGAAATTAAATATTCACCCAAAAAAATCAGGCTTTTGTATACATACACCACACAAAAATAAGTTACAAATTTCAAAATTGTGGAGATCTTCACAGAATGAATAATTTTTTAACAGGCATATACTTCCAATGAAAAGAAATTATCTGTAAGAACCTATTGGTTATCACACAACCAGGCCAAATTTAGCCCTCGAATTTGACAAGGACAGACCAAGACCACAGCTCCACACCTAACTACACTATTATGAAGAACAAACAAGAAAGGAGGCAAAGAATCATTTATAAGGCTAGCAAACTAACCTTTACTGAATTACCAACAAGATTTGTTATTATCTGCCGGAATCGCCCAGGGTCTCCAACCAGAATCTCAGGTACCTTATTGGATACATATATAGCCAACTGCCGACGATGAATAAGGAAATAAAAATTAGGACTCAATTACACTCACAAATTTGGATAAAAAATTAACTTCTACATGATTTAGTAATTGATCATACTTCAATTTCTTTTTCCCGAGACTTTCCCGAGAATAGAGAAACGACATTGTCTAGGATATTACGCAAATCAAAGGGCACTGCCTCAAGCTCAAGCCGGCCTGATTCTATCTTGGCCTGATCAAGAACCTCATTAATAATGGAAATGAGATCCTTTCCGCTGGCATGAGCTGTCTGGGCATAATCAAGTTGATCAGCATCCAGATCAGTATCCATCAGCATTTGCAGCATACCTAAAACAAAGGCCAAAATTCAGATCCAACATAGATAGCAAAAGCTAATCAAATACAGAATATACTCTATGTCAAATTCCTTCTTACCTAAAACACCGTTCATGGGCGTTCTTATTTCATGGGACACAGTAGCAAGGAACTGCACAAAGACAGAGAAATGAATTGAAGACACTAATGATGCAACCAAAAACCATGTAAGAATGCACTAAAAATATATAAAATAAAATATTAAATAAAACTCAAAATAACAAAAATTACAACTGCTAAGCTTTTAAAGCTAACATCAATTCAAGCTTGAATTAAACCCACCTGAGATTTTGCAACGTCAGCAGCTTCAGCACGAGCTTTTAGCACCGTCATTTTTTGGCAGTCTTCCTCTACTCTGACAATTCTATTAATGGCTGCATGAAGAATATGACTTAGGAGCAACGAAATTGTCAGGACTCCACCTGCTGACAATATTGCCGTCCAAGGCGGAGGTGGCCTGTTTTTGAACCTACGAAAAGAAAAAGGAAAAGTTCACCCTGCTCTGGTTAGCACATCTACAATAAAAATGAAGTATTCTTCTTAATTTCTCAGTTTGATTAATGACATGAAATTTAGTTGTCATGTGTACACTACCTGCAATGCATCTCATGCTTTCGAGTTGGATCCCCAAAATCAAGACTGCTATTGTGCAAAAAACCTGTGTCTACAACATCAGTTCCATACATGTTAATTTTTGCTGATTTATTCGTTGTATCATAGACATTCACAACAATTGTTTGTTTGCCAGCAAGTTGCTGAAGAATCTTCTCCACTAGTGAGCGCAGATCATAAGATGCACCAAGATACCTACAATGGTGAAACCATTGTGTTATTATATATAGTTCAAAGTAAAAGAGGCAACAAGGTTCAAAGGAAAAACTTATTACCCCATAGTTGCTGTTATGCGTTGCTCTGGAGTGGCATCTGGTGGAAGCTCATGGTCATAGACAGCAAAAGTAAGTACTACTCCCAGGTGATTAGATTTAAGTAGCTTAAATGGAGAAGTCAAGACACCCTTTCCAGTTGCCCTGGCTCGCAAAATATTGTCACGGTCTTCCTGCATATATAAAAATTTACCTTAATTTATTTGTAGTGGCTGAAGTAGAAACTACAATTATATCATATGTAGATAATAGATGTCATTAAAGAATCCCCATTCTGTTTTAAGTTTTTAACTGCTAATGAGAGATACAGACACTTCAAATCCTGATCATTTCAGTCAGGGGATTTAAGTGCCAGACTGATTGTAGGCCCTATTCTTTAAAACTTACAATAATTCATGTCTGATAGTTTAATATGGACTGATGGTTCAAATAAGCTCAGATAATATATTAACTAGAATAAGAATAGCTTCATATCAAATCCAATAAGCTCAGATAGATTCAATTCTGATAAATGAAAGGTTTCAGGAAAGAAAAGCTTGAGCCAAGTGTGAAAAATGGAAACGATAAGCTTCCAGACGTTTCCAACATATATACGATGAACTGAATTGGAAAAAAGTTGATTACAGATATGTATCCATACATAATTAAAGAGAGAGTCAATTAATTACAGATAAATATCCATACATAATCAAAAGGAGACTCAGGTTAGATTCCTCAAAAATATATTTAACTCCAGCAAAGTTGCTCATCACAAATAGAATTTAGAACAGGAATTTCTAACTTGACTCTCATTTAATTACATTTACAGATTTCACAATACACATCACTAGACTGCCGGGAGTGACATTAATAGAGATAGAAATTCATCAAACATGTTACCTTATAAACAAAGAACCCTCAATAATTGAAGAACATACCTTTCCAGACATCATGTCTATAGAGACAATATGAGCTACTGTTCTTTGACAGAATATAACAGGTGCATATTCATCTTGAATGGGTGCAGGGTCCATCTTTGCAGGATCAAAATCTTGTACAAGAGTCTGATCCCCGTGTTCCATCTTCTTTATAGTCCATCCCTGACGCTTTTCAAATTTCTCCCTCTCAGAGTGAGTAACTTTCAATGCATAGGCAACACCACTGGTGAGTGGCCTCTCAAAAGCAGTTCTGTCAGTATATTCTTCAAATGTTTTCTGCAGAACCAACAGCATGAAAAAGATACCTACTTAGCAATCATCTCCAGAAGGAAAAAGGCTCTTGCAACATTATTGCAGGGGCAATTCGCCAATATGACAAACTATGTTGCTAACTATAGGTGGATATACATTTAAAGAGAGCTAAAGATCTGTTTGTGTATTTCCCAGATGTTTTTTTAGTCCATGTTGGCATGCTGATATACTCACCATTTTCATCATGCATAATTTTTCATTAGCTTAAACAATTACGAAATTACCTGATCCATAGCAGAAGGATTTTTTCCATGGTGAAATGTAGAAACCAGGACAGCTAAGGCGTGCACATGATTCATGCCAACATTAAACTGATCTTGCAGCATTCTGGCTCGCTCATCGCACATATTAGCTAAAGTTTCTCTTCTTCTGAAAACAGTGTCTTGGTAAAAATGGTAGAATATACAGATGGATACAACCATCATACCAACAACAAACAGAAACAAGAGCTTCTTTTGCCACTTTGTAGTGGTTTTGGCTGTACTATGGATTTGCAATGGAAGCTTATGCTGCATAAGTTGCTGCTGCTGCAGCTGCTGTGGCTGGGAATTCAATCGCGGTGCCAGGGAATACTGCTGCTTCCTCCATATGCTAGAACAAAAACAAGAGATCCTCAAACTCATCACCATCAACCCAAAAAGCACCCACCAACAAGTCTTTGTTGACCAAAAACAATTAGACCTGCAGGCATCTTCTGCGTTGCCATTAGCTTGCACAGAAGTTCCCTGTGGAAAAAGAATAGTATAAGTCCAATCTGCAAACGACACTGGTATAATTTCTTATCTTATGAACATACAATTTACTTAATACAAAGGCAAGGATAACGATAAAATTCAATTAATATATATTTTTAATTGCATTAGACTGGCATCATTTCTAATCTTAAAAACAAACCTGAAAAACTTTATAAACCATCTGATGACACACTCTCAAATGACATATATGCTAAAAAAACGCATGTATTCTCAACAACAATTAAAGAAGATTCAAAACCATCAAGATTACAGAATAACAGGCATCCAAGCAATCTCCACCTCTCAAATTTCTTTAAGAGCATTGTAAGCCAACTCAAAAATCAAATGGCATAGAGAGGAACATTTTATCTAGGGGTTTAATTATATTACTTTTCCTAATCCGTTTATTTACCACAAAATTACCAACAAACTAAACATTATTATTTATTATTAGTTCAAGAGCAGCCAAATTTCAAGCAACACAAACAAAACATTAAATTAATTCAAGAACTACCAAATAAAATTTACCTGATTAGAAAATAGATGAAGCTGGTGGCGGCCGAAATCGAAAGGTTCGTTAAACACAAGATTCTTGAAATCACCAAGGAACAAAGACTTATTTTGAGATTTCGAAAACCAGCCAATCAACCCATACAAGAACCAACTTAATCCAACAGCAACAATCACATGAAGCAACATTGCAATCTTCCCATTCCACTTCCCAACACTACCACAAGATCCATTCATTTGATCCTTAGCAGCCTTTTTCATCTTGAAGTTGGAAGCATATTTTCCATTTGAACCAGAATGGTTGTTATTCAATGACATGTATTCAGCAAATTTCTTGCTAATTTGAGTATTACTCCAATTATTGAGCATAAACCAACTTGCAAACTTCAACACAACAAACAGATTATTCACCAAGTAGATGAAATTTCAATGGCGCCGAAACCCGAAACTCGAAACCCGAGATCTGTTCTTGTTTAATGTGCAGCAGTACAGCTTCCTGAAGCATTCAATCAAACACATGAAGATCATACCAAAAATTATTCCACAAAATAAAAATTAAAAAATGAAGAATAAAAAATCCAATTCATTTGCCTTCATACAAATCTAACAAACCCATCAAAATTAACTTTACTTTCTTCTTCCACAGTACATTCTCACTCTACCTCTCACTTTCTCTCTCCTCTTTCTGTCAGTAATAATTAGTTGAGCATAGGATATTTCAATTATAAAACAAACCCACTTCAATTTGGATAAGACCCACTTCAAATTCATCACAAAAAACCTAACTGGCAACTGGAAACAATCATATAATTAACAAAATTAAAGAAAAGAAAAGGAAAAGTTAAGGGAGTTTTCATGCTTTATTTTTACCTATTTGAATGATTTTTCTCTCTCCTCTGTTCTGTTCTTCAACTTGGTGGAGAGCATTTGCTGAGAAGATTGGGGCACATTATTATCTCAATCATTCAAAGTGGGGAAAAGCTATACCTATACCAAATCAACTCAAAGATTTCAGAATCAAATTACCCACAATTAAAATTTTAACTGTTGAAAAGAAAAAAGGAAAAAAAAATGAGGAAATTATATAATAAAAAATAATATAATTTGGTACCCTTTTGCTTTATAAGAGTGATGAAAGAGACTGCTGCTGCAACCTCTTCTTCTTCCAGTGTTTGTTTTTGTGAAGCAGGTGCAGGTGGTTTTACTGATAAACAGAGAAATTGAGAGGAGAGAGAAAATGTGTCAGTTAGAAGAAGGTGAAATATTATTTTAATCAAAATAACCATAATTATACAAGAGCGGGTATTTTGTTTTGAGCGTAAAATAATTAAAAATTATAAAATGATGAATGTTGTCCGAATTTTTTGTTTGTGTTTTTTTGGGAATATTAGGAACATACTGATGCATGATTTTAACATTTTGAAAAAAATATATTCTGTCATCGTGGTAATGGTTAAAAATTTATTAAAAAATTAAAAAAAAATATAAAAACTAAAAACCCAACCCCAAGCCCCCAACCCACGACAACCACGCAACCACCGGGGTCGGGCTTGCCACCGGCCCAGCCCAAGTCCCCGGCCTCAGCCTGTTGTGCCCAGACCCCCTCCCCCACGCCGGCGTCGCTTTACCGGTGTCCCTTTCCCTCAAACAACCAATCCCGCAGCCCTAAACCCGGCTGAAATTCCTAAGCTACCTTTACCACCATATAAAAACCCCCAGCTGCCCCTCCCCCACCATCGGAACCCTAAATAGTAGGGGAGGGGCGGCTGAGGGTAGGGGTGTCCGTTCGGTTTTCGGTTTGGATTTAGTCCAAATCCGATCCAATCCGAAATATAATTCGGTTTTCAATTTTCCAATCCGATCCGATCCGAATTTCTCTCTTGATCCAATCCGAATAAAAATTCGGTTGTTTGGATCCGATCCGAAAATCCGAATTATAATACATTATTTTTTTAGCGCCTAATACAATTATAAAAATAAAGCTTTACTATAAATAAAAGTCTTCAAAATCATGATTAAAATACACAGTTAAACGTTAAGTCATTAATTAATTAATACAAAGTCTCTCTAATTTATTTTATGTAGTATTATATATTTGAGCTAAACTTCAAAATATACAAAATATACAAGCTTAATTTTACAATTCGGTTTTTGGTTTGGATTGGATCCAATTAGGGTCAATCCGATCCAATCCGAAAATCCGAATTTCCAAAAAATCTCAATCCGATCCGATCCGAATTGATAATTCGGTTTGGATTGGATTGGATTTCGGTTTTTATCCGAATTATGGACACCCCTAGCTGGGGGTTTTTATGCGATGGAGGAGGTGATTTAGGGATTTTGGGTGATCGTGGGTGGGATTTCGGAGGTTTTGGGCTATGGGATTGGTGGTTTTGGGGGAAAAGGAGCTAAAGACGCGGGGGAGGAGGTTTTGGCTAGCGCGTGGGTGTGGAAGGTGGTTCTGGCCGCCGCAGTTGTTGTGGGGAAGGTGGTTTGTGGGTGGGGAAGCTGGGCAATTTTTTTTTATTTTTTTTTTGTTTTTTAGTTTTTCTTTTTTTTCAATTTTTGTAAGTTTTTTTTTTTAAAAAAAATTCCAACCAATCACGTGGTGATACGTATCACCTTAACCTATTATAACAGGTTAGGGACCAAGAAAGTGAATACACCCCAAAGTTGGGATTATTTAATAATAATCCAAAGTTGAGATTATTTAAAGCGGATACGTGAAAGTTGGGATTATTTTTACCAATTTTTCCTATATTTTATCGAATACTTGGGAGTAGAGGGGAGGGTAAGGAAATCTCTACCCCCTACCCCCCAAGTACCCTCACTTGATAAGATTTGAATCCCAAACCTTTAGGATCTGAGGTAAGAGTCTTACCAAGTGGGCCAATAGGCCCAACACTTTGTTGGTTAAAAAAAAAAGACCCTTCATAAGATGACCGTTTTATAATTAGACATTCTTTTGACCCACATCGATTCTAACCTAACCTGTCCAGAAACAATGTCTGATATATAACATTCGTATTAAATTAAGATTATACAGAGTATACGGTAGAAAACTACCGTCATTGACTTGTGGTATCAATAAAGTGTCTACCACCAATTCTAGATTAAGGAGGATTTTTATTAACTTATTGTAAGACAGGTTAAAGTTATCCTATAAGTATTTAAAATTACCATTATATACTACAAAACTTGTCATTTTTCTGAAATAAATTTTACTCTTAAAAAACACTTATAATGTATTAAATTAATCATATTAGCATTTATACCATGTATTGATAGAGTATATAAAACAATCATAGGTTTCAACCATCAACTTAAGCTTTTGGTTGAAATGGTCCTTTAATATGGTATCATAGCTAACGTGACACAAAAGTCACAGGTTTGAATCTCATTCACCCCTCCTTTTAAAGTGGAATATTAAATGCTAGGTATAGTGGGGCCTATGTTACATCCACATTTCAAGCCTAGTGGGCTCTCATGTGAGGGGACGTAATAGAGTATATAAAACGATCTTAGAAATTATACATTAAAATAAATATCAAACTTATAACAAATTAAAATTTATCCTTAAAGGGATTAAAATTACCATAAATATTGTTAAAGTTACCCTTAAATCTACCGTCTTATAGTGAAATTAATGTAAGAAAGCCCGTCTTACACAAGACTTATTGAAGTGTCTACATATTTGATGTTATGTATTCTATCCATTTTAATATAATCACCATTCACCACAAGTGAAATACTCCATATGAAACTATACATATTTTTTTTTTTTTTTTGAGAAAAACGAATGGCGTGCCTTATATTAATAATTTATCCAAGGGAGACCTCACAAGGACTGTGGTTCTCACATACCTGCTCACAACCAAAAGGCATAATACGGGCTAAATAATGAGCTACACTATTACCCTCCCGTTTAACATGACACCAAGAGATAGAGTTAAAAGAATTACAAAAAATAAGCACTTCCTCCAGTAAACCATCAAGATCAGTGAGAAATATAGAGCCTTTACATAGCCTTCCAACCAAAACCTGGCAATCGGATTCAATCACTACATCCTTGAGCCCATAACACTTCGTAAGTCTAGTAGCCATCACCATCGCCTTGCATTCAGCTATAATTGGAGTCCAATATGCTGTGGAGCGTCTACAAGCAGCAAATAAAACCTCGCCATAGCTGTTTCGCGCTACCACACCTAGCCCCACCCAACCATCATCACAAAGAGACGCATCACAGTTAAGTTTTATGGCTCCCTCTGGAGGAGCTTGTCAAGTCTTGGGGCTGCTCTTATGCTTTGCTCTAACCACACCGTAAATCTTCTCTGAGACCGAAATGCATTCACTTGCAAGTCTTTGAACCCTGTCCACAAGAACAGGGTGAAAAGTGTCGGACCCCTGAAAAATCTTCTCGTTACGTCTTTTTCACATATTCCACAGGAGAATAGCCCCCCTACATTGCTTGCGAGAGCTGTGCTTGCTCCATCCCTCAAAAAAATCGAGGAATGTCAGATGAAACTATACATATTATCTTTTTTTATCATGATTATTTTAATTTTCAAATCAATTGGCACATCTTAATAATTATCCCTATAATGTTCCATAATAGAGTTTGACCCTAATTTATTTACACCAAATGTCGTCCGTTAACAAGGTCTAATTTGGTCTCTAAGGCAGGTAAAGTTGTTATAATTCAAAACCAATTGGAAGCTATTCCTTCCTATGCTATGACTACAACCCGATTATCGACTTCTGTGACTGACTATTTAGACAAGATTAATTGTGATTATTTTTGGAAATAATCCCCGGCCAAAAAATTAAAGGTCTCCCTTTGTTTGCTTGGGATACTATTTGTAAACCCAAAAGCCAAGGGGGTCTTAGTTTGCGTAAATCTGAAGCTATAAATTTTGCTTTCTTAGCTAAGTTGGGTTAGAAAGTAATGTCTGAACCTTCAAATTTGTGGGTTCAATCTGTTACTGCTAAATGTCTGCAACACTCCCATTTTTTGACATACCGTCCCCATTCTAAGGATTCTTGGATTTGGAAGAAACTTCTCCAAATGCGCCCCTTATTAATTAAAGGTCTCCGTTGGAAAATCGGCAACGACTCTTTTATGCTGTTTTGGGTTGATATTTGGTGCGCTAACACCAATATTATTGTTCTTTTAAATTTAGACCCTAATCAAATTCCTAATATTGGTTACGGTGGATATGTTTATCACCCTTGAAAATACTTGGAATGTTTCCCTTCTTCTATTGCACCTTCCTAATGACTTAGTCTAGCGTATTTGTGGAATCCCTCAGCCTATTTATCCGGTCCCGGATGCTCCTATTTGAGGTTTGTCCAAAGATGGGCTTTTTACTGTTAAATCGGCAACATGGTTGGCCCACTCTCATTCTCCTTCCTCCTCTAAATGGGAGTTCTACTGGATTTGGGATTTAGATATATCGCCTAAAATTAAAATATTTTTGTGGCAACTTCTTTTGAATAGCCTCTCCACCCGTCAAACTTTAGCCTCTCGTCATATTGATGTTCCTACTCATTGTGTTTTTTGTAATTCCCATGTCGAATCTCAACAACATTTATTTCTACTTTGCCCCTTCCTTTCTGATCTTTGGTCCTCTCCTTCTGTTCGTAATTGGCTCGGCCCTTTGCCTTCTTCCACTCAACTCTCGGATCTACCTTCTTCCACTTGTTTAAATCTAGTTCTCCTCGTCTTCTCCCTAAATTTGCCATCCTGGAGTCTTTGGAAACATCGTAATGTAGTTAGTTTTAAGAATTCTGCTGCTAATTTTTGTTCAATGTTTTCTCGTGCTTTCTCCCTTTACCAAGAATGGCTCTCTCGTTCTTTTCTAGATGATATTTATCATTCTCCGAGTTCCCTGTAACCTCCAACTTCTCTACCTCCCCCTCCTGTTATTTCTTGGTCTCCCCCTCCAATAGGTTACCGTAAGCTTAATTTTGATGATTTAGCTATCCAAAACTCCGCTACTGCAGGGGTTGTTCTAAGTGACCATCTTGGCAACCATATTGCTAGTCGCACTTATAATTTAGGATATTGCCCAGCCTTCCTTGTTGAAGTTATAGCCCTTCGTAACGGTCTTCTTCTAGTTCAGGATAATAATATTTCTAATATTTTTATTGAAGGTGATAATCTAACCGATATTAATATTTTGCAGGGTTCTTTTACTTGTCCTTGGAAGCTCCAACTGTTGATGGATGATGTTAAGACTATTCTGGAGTCCTTTGAAGCCTTTCAGTCTCGTCATGTTTTTCGTGAAGGCAATCAGGCTGCAGACTATGTTGCTTCCCTTGGTTACTCTACCTCGACCCATCAGGATATTGATCATTTTTTGGATAGCAAGTTTTCTTATTTTTTACTTTTTAATTGATGGATTAGGACATGGTCTTGCGAGAAGACAATCCTAATCTCTACCTTTATCCTACCTTTTTTAAAAAAAAAAAAAATTATGTCCACGAAATAAAATACGAAGTATACTCGTATTTTACAATATTTGCATTGATTAATCGTATAAAAAGAAAGGTAAAAAATTGAAAAATAGGGGGGACTAAAGAAGATCTTGATGGATTTGTTTAGGGACTTTAAGTAGGAGGTGATGTCAGCACCCGTGACAATATATGTCGGTTTTATGCTTTGTCCACGATAATAAAATGCACCATTTTATTATTATCATTATTAATTAATCCTAATTAGGCCCCTCT